CCTGCAGCTCCCAAGGGATCTACACTCTCATGCTAATCCACGGGGTCCTGAGCAATTTCTTCTTAAAAAATGTTTCTAGTTGAATTCTTTTCTTTCTTTCTCCTGGCTCTGCACCAGGTGAGCTTATCTACTCCCTTGGCAGGGCCTATCTTTCCTTGGGGTCCAGTTCTCTGACAGGTTCAGACACTCATGCTTCTATAGTTTACCTGGTGCTACTGTTGTATTGTCATGCTATATCCATGGTGGAAGTGGAACTCCTATAGCTTGTTTTTTCATGTTACTTTTGATGAACCAAATTTGAATACAGTCCAATTTACTGGCCTCTCGTTATAGAGTGCACTCGAATGTCTTGTGTAAAACATAATCTGTCCCTATTGCTCATTACAAAGTCAGACCCAGTAAGTTTCTCTTAAAAGTTTTTACATTTTGATTTTCCACACTTCACTTTAAGAAAGTACATGTTTTATTCCATGTCTACAGTATCAGGTACAGAGGAGATTTTCCTATCTAGACTACCTAATGATTTTGGGGGCTATTTTTACTGAAGCTTATGTTTTCTTCAAAAATTTTATAAAAGTATGGGCTTCATATGTAAGCCCTTCAGTTTCTGATCTCTGTGTTCTATTTTAGGAGCCTACTTACCTATCCTGACCTACCTTACTTCACACGATTTGCAGTGTTGCTGTGGTACGTAGGTTCCCCCGCCTTGCTCAGCTAGTTTCGTCAGTGCTCTCTTTATCACAGTCTCAAGGTTTTCTATAGTGATTCTAACATCAGCTGGACAAGTTTTATGGAAAAAGCCCCCTGGGGTGTTGACTGGAATGACTTTGGATCACAGACTAACTGGGGTAGAACTGGCATGTCTATGACATGGAGTCTTTACATCCATCAGTACAGTATTCCTATTTATTGAGGCTTCTTTAATGCGTTTCGATAAAGTTTTAGAATTGTCTCCACAAAAGTCCTACACATACATTTTATAAAATTTGTGGCAGAAACTGTGAGATGCCCCTAAAAATCCATTCTCCGTTTCTTGCTGGGCCCATAGGCACCAAAAGTTAAGCCCACTGGCACTGAGTGGATTCCAACACATAGACGCTATAGGACAGAGCAGAACTGCCCCATAGGCTTTCCAAGGCTGTAAATCTTTACACAAGCAGACTGCTCCCTCCTTTTCCC